GTCACTGAAAAAGAGGAAGACCCTCAATGAGATGGATTGACACAGTGACTGCAAGAATGGGTTCAAGCATAGCAATGATTGTGAGAATGGTGCAGGACCAACAGGGTAGTGTTGTGTCCTGTTGTGCATAGTGTTGCTGTTAGTCGGAACCGATTCCACGGCACCTCACAGCAACCACACAAATCAGAAATGATCTCACAAGCATGTGTAAAACTGCCAGTGTTACAAAGGCTTGAAGTTGAGGCCCAGGATACAACCAGAGTCTCTTCTGGAAGAAGGAGCCTCTTGGTGGAGGCTGGCAGTGATGAGGACACTGACAAAGACAGGTGAGTCTGAGAAACATCTGAAAGAAACAACTGGGCTAAAGTGAGATTGGGATCCACTCTTGTGTAGTCTGGAAAGAAGGCAAAATCAGAACTCTGGGGAGGGGAAGAAAAGAGTTCCGTTTTACAGCCTTGAGTTTGAGGAACTGATTTAAACACAAGGGAGGAGCTGTCTTCTGGTGGGCAATGATAGTGATAAAAGCATTTGGACAACAACCTGAATGTTTTTAAAAGAATGATCAGTCTCCTTACGTCACTGAATCCTCACACCTACTGTGAAGTGGTATTTTTTAGTACCTTCCCCATTTTATTGTTGAAGAAACTGAGGCTCCCCCAAATCAAGCGATGCTCAGGATCACAAAGTAAGCAAAGAATCACCTCGCTCCAAATCCCTAGTCGTTCCCCTTCACAATGCTGACTTGGTTGTAGAAAAGGGGTCTGGAGGTGGTTCCCTTCTTAAATTCTCAACAGGGCTTACGGTTAAAACCCCTGCTGAAAATTTGCATTTCCACCTCAGATACTCTGAATCAGAATCAACATTTTAACGAGATCCCCAGGCGGTTCTTATGTATAAGCTCCCGGGAACTTGTCAGAAATGCAAATTCTCAGCAGGGAACTTGTTAGAAATGCACATTATCAGCAGGGGTTCCAACCGAATGAACCTGTTGGACGCCCTGATTCTGAGTAGGAGGTTTCAGGACTGGAATTTAGGGCAGAAGCCGATTTGGGAGTCATTTGCAGAATATAGGTATCGATTTACTCTGTGAAAAGGCGCGTGCGTTTTCCAGCGTTGTTGTGCCTTTAATTATTCCTCACACATCTTTTCCCTTTATGCCTTTTTAGCGCGAAAAGTTTTCCGAAAGACCAGGTGCTAGGCGGCACGGCTTCTTTAGAACTACATTTCCCACAATGCCCCAGGGCGCCCTCTATGGCCCGAGAACTACATCTCCCAAAATGCTGAGGGGTTGGAGAAGGGAATTGACTTCGACCCCGATTTCAAAAATACAGTTTACCCACTGTACAGCCCAGATGTAGTCACTTCTTTCCCCTTTCCTGCCAGAGACTTCCGTTCCCAGCTCGAACTTCCGATCCCATTCTTCTCTCGGGTGGGATTGCTTGGGGGGGGGGGGGGAAGAGTCATCAAGTGGGAAGAGCGCATGCGCCTAGGGCCTCGCGTTTAGCCTGTGAAGCAGGCTGGTCGCTGTTCGGCCTCATCCCGCCTTGCGCGTGCGCAGACAATAAACCAACGCCCCGGAGTTGAGGCGCGGGTTTGGTGGCGCGTTTTAGCGAAGTCGCACGTGAAGGGTAGCGGTGATCTGAGCCCGGTGAGTGCAAGCCGAGACCGGGGCTGGGGTGACAGTACTTGCGACGGGGAGGCAGCAGCTGCTGCGGGCGGGACCAGGGCGGAGTTATGAGGCCTGGTGATCCCGAGTGGGGAGGGGTCCAAAGTCGCGCGGCGGGGGAAACAAACTGGGGACCCACCCGCATTCTCGTTGCCATGCAACCGGGGGCGTCGTTACTAGGTAACAGCGTGGGCACGTGTTTCCCGGGAGAAGAGGGTTCCCGAGCGCTGCTCCGAGGTCTGGTGGAGGCACTGAGGCTGCCTGGCTGGGGCACGAGGCTAGCTCCGAGCCCCTTGCACCGATCTCTGCCCCGCGACCCAGCCTTGCGCGGCCTCCGTCTGAGCCCCTCGGGGTACCCTGGGCCATGGTCCGCGCCGCGTCCCTTGCCCGCAACGCCACCCAGCAGGGTTTGGCAGGGGACGCGCTGTTCGAAATAGCGCATGCCACTGACACCGTGTTTCGAGGAGGCTGGGCCCTGGGGAGGGCGCGGCGTGGCTGGGAGGCTGCCCCTTCACCCATCGCCCTGCCCCCAAACAGTTGCTGGGCAGCAGCTGTCAGGGACTTAGCCGGGGCTGCCCCCGACCTGCCGGGGCACTGACTTCATTCTCCTCACTGACGGCTTCGCCCCATCTAGGAGCTTCCTTTCAACTCAGCCGTGCTTCTAGGGTGGCTGCTGCATATTTGGATCCGCTATTAAAATAACCCCCACCCACCTCTCGATGCCTCTCCATTTCTACACTCACGGGTGCCTAGCGTGTCTCTAATATTCATTCATCGAGTACTTAGTAGCCCGCGTTCTGTGCTAGGCGCTGGAATTCCAAGATAAGTTAGAAGGCAAGTCTGGGTGCTTAAAGGCTAATGGAGGAGACAGGTGTATAAACTGCTAAATTAGGTACAATGTAATGAGTGTTATATTGGCAATTTGAGGGAGGAAGTGCTGCTTCAAGGCTTTGAACCTGTGCGTTCCTGTTCTAACCCCTGCTGGGAATTTGCATTTCTTATAAGTTCCCAGCCAAGCAAATGCTGCTGGTTAGGGACCAATTCTGAGAACCACCAGTAGAGCAATGGTACATACCAGTCACCTGGGGATCTTGTTAAAATGTAGATTCTGATTCTGTATATTTGGGAGTGAAATCATTAGCATTGCCTGGGAACTTGTTAGAAATGCAAATTGTCTGCAGGGGTTCGAACTGGAAGGAACCTGTTGGAAGCCCTGGCTGCAACATTTCTGTGGATGTTTACAAAGTTTTTACGGAAACATCTTAACTCCTTGTAACAACTCTCTATACATTTGAGAAGACTGAAGCTCCGACAAGTTAAGTAGCTGATGTGAGTGGTGGCTTCTAGTCTGTGGCAGAGTCTGGGATGGAAGTCTAGAGTCCTTTGTACAGTGCCGCACTGTTGAGGCTTTGCCTTGAGTAGACTTTTTCCTGCCGAGTTGATCATTTGTTGCAGCTGTCTGGCTATGCATGAGAAATCCCTGGGGGACCTTTAAAAACAAAAGCCCGAGCCCTTCTCTGGGAGGGTGGGGCAGACATCCTTGCTTTAACTGGCTGCAGGGCACTTCTGAAGGGCATCCAGAATTGAGAACCGCTGCTCCATTGAGGTGGCTATGAGCAGTGGATGGGAAAATCAGGGCCAGCAGAGGGCACTAAGTTAGCTGCTCCTCCTGCCAGGAGGTGATTCATAGAGAGAAAGGGAACTAACCACCTATGAGAAGAGGAGGAAGAACAGCCTTGGCAGAGAGCTGTGGACTGCTCCACCCTGTCCTTTTAGCAAACCACAGCTAAATAAATACTCCTTCTCACCACCATAGTAAGTGAAGCAGCTTCCCAGGCCAGCGGGGTTCTCCTGGCCCAGCCAGAGCCATATCGCAGCTGCCTGAACAGAAGTGGGAGGCTTGGTGGTGCAGTGGTTAAGAGCTCGTCTGTTAACCAAAAAGTCAGCAGTTTGAACCCACCAGCCGCTCCTTGGAAAACTTATGGCGTCTCTATGAGTCGGAATCAACTCGTCGGCAATGGGTTTGGTTTTGGTTTGGAATAGAAGTGACAGGTCTTGTCCCCGTCTTTTGTTGTCCTCTCATGCTTCTTGGTACAAAACCATGACCTGTAGACCCAGCCACTGGCTCATCTCCTACTGTGTGGTCTCTTCTTGGGAGTCTGAATGACCCCCTACTTTGAGCTTGTTGATATTTGGCGGAACTTTAAGCTCTTTTGAGGGCAGGGACCATATAACAGAGGCTTGTCTTGTGCCTTAATCTTAATTCATGCCTTTCAGGAAGGTAGCGTGGGGGTGTGCAGTGAGCGGTAGGGCAAGATTTGGATCCTGGGTTCTAGAGTCAAGTCCGAGTTCTGTTGTGTGATCTTGGACAGGTCACTTGACACCTCTCCCAGCCATAGCTTTTGAGTAACGTGGGGGAGAGTAGTAATACTTTATAAGATTGCTGTTAAGTATTAAATGAGATGGGGATGTAATAAGCACTTGTAAACCACACAGAAATTCTTATAATGCTTATTTTTGTTGCTGAGTGCCTGCTGTTAGAGTCTGGGCATTTGAAGACGTTTAAGACCGGCTTTCTCTTCTCAGAGTTTGTAACTGTTTTGGCTCTTGACTATCACGGCCTCTTTCTTTTTAAAAAGGATTTCACTGGGCCAAAGTGAGGAGGCAGAATTGGCGGGACAGATTCTTGCTGCCTGAGACTAGCCTGGAACAAATGAAAAGGAATCTGTTAGAACAATTTGACGAAACAGACCAGCCAGTCAGCTGCACTTGGTATCTCCAGAGGGGATGCCCCCGATTCTGTTAGATTTTGGTTTCTAGTGTACTTCAGATGCCAGCCTCACTGAAGAGCGTTTATTTCCAGGTCCCCGGCCCCCTCAACTGGGGCAGATGGCCGCTTGAGAGTTGAGGCTGGTCCAGAAAGCAGCAGGCTGCCATGGGGGAGCAGCTCACGTCACCCTGACCTTCTAGAGTGGAGGAGACAACACCCAATCCCTCCTGGTGGAGGTCCTTGGGATACAGGATCCAACCCAAGATAGCAACCCTGCTCTTTAAGTCCCCGATGTGGTTGTGACCCAGATAGCTCAGGAACTGACCCGTGCTTTCCTCTTTCCAACCACTGGCTGGCAGGAACCATCTGGCCCTTGGTTTGTGCCAAAGAGAGTAGAAAGCTTTCCCAGCCTGAGGTCCTTCCACATGAATTGCATGATTCGCAGCCCTGCTTGATCCTACGACCCTCAGGGGGGTTTAGAGCAGCTGTTTCTGGGCCAGAAATGCCCCTGAATATGGTATTTTTAGAACGCTTTCTTGGACCCTCCCACTAAGCAAGAGTAGGAAGATGGATGCATCTCTCCCCTTTCCTCCATCCCTGAGGCTCTGGATTTCTGGCCAACTCCTGAGTGCCATGGTAACTGCAAAAACTTCAAAAGCCTGACTGCTCCTACCTCAGAGCCATGGCTTAGCGTCCCTTCATCAGAGCTGAATCATGGAAACTCCCTGGAGCTACAGGTTCATTTTTGAGCTGGGAGAGAAAGGGGGATTTGCTGGTGCTGTTTGACATTTCTCGAGCATGGTGGTAAATAGAAGGTGGACGTGCAAATATTTTTCTTGGCTGGTCCTCACCTAGTTCAGTGAGTAGGTACTTGTTGGGTCTTAACTTGCCTATGGCATCATGTTACAGACAAGCTCACAGCACAGCGGTTAGGTGAATTTTCACTAGTAATTCCCCGAGATGATTGGTAGATGCCAAATTTATTTTAGCTCATGAATAATCTATTGTCTGGCTTTCTAAATCCCTTCTGAGACTTAAGTTGGAGCAGTACAGCAGAGTGGTTGTACACGTGGGTTCTGATGTGAGATGCACCTGGATTCGAAACCTGGTTTCCCTGCTTACTAGCTATCCTTCCTCGGTTTCCTCATCAGGAAAAATGGGGGATAATAACAGTGCTCACCTGATAGGTTGTGAAGATGAAATGGAATAGGTGCCACATGACAAGACTAGCTAAATGTTCGCTTTTTATTAATAATTAATAATAACAGTATGTTTCTTTAAAGAGCTGTCTTTAACCCTTTGCCTGCTTTGGGAGGATGGAGAGTTGAGGTCTTCCTGTGTCAGTGGCTCTTAACTTTGCACAGTGGAATCACCTGGGTGGCTTTTACAGCTTTTGTGCTTAGGCCACACCCAGACAATGGCATCAGAACCCCTGGGTTTGGACACGGGCATCAGGACTTTGTGCAGCTCCCAGGTGATTCTGTTGAGCAGCCACAGCTGAGAACCTCTGTATGACCTTGACTGCCAGTGAGTAGGGGATTTGGAAGCAGAAGTCTGCTGCTTAGCCCACTTCTAAGCCTCCTTTTCTTCTCGTCTGTACAAATGGGGACACGGAGGATGATCCCACCTCCTCACCTGATGGGCCTGCAGAGCAAATTG